GATTTTTGTTTGTTGATCTTATACCCTGCCACTTTGCTGAATCTTCCAATGAGGTCTAGTAGCTTTTTTACTGAGTCTTTGGGGTTTTCTACATATAGAATCATATCGTCTGCAAATAGGGAGAGTTTTACTTCCTCTTTGCCAATTTGGATACGTTTAATTTCCCTGTCTTGCCGTATAGCTCTTGCTAAGACTTCCAGCACAATATACTCTTCAGCTTATTTAAAGTCTCTATCAAACATAGCTTTTCATCCAACATAGTGTGTGCACATAGCTCTCTGTGCAATGCTATAATCTTTCAGATTTTGGCTGTTAGTTGCTCTAATTAGAGGTTTACACAAATGGGGTTTATAGATCTTAAAGTAAATTTCAAATAACTGACTCACCAGAAACAGCACCCCCACTTCTTAGAATCCTCTATTCCAGCACAAGTATCATGGATCAGGCATGAAAACAACTCATCAATAAGTCCACACCGCTTTTTCCAACATGTTTCCAACGTTGCTTTGTCCTTTCTTTACCAGCTGCTGATCTGCATTATTGGCAAATATTCAAAGGTCAAATGCTGCTGCATACATGATAGGAAAAGCCCAGTTTTCTTTGTGGGCTTGAAATGTTCACAGGAATGATTGGACAATTACAGTCTGACATTTGTATGCTTCTATGAGATCCTGGTTTCCTACTGTGTAAATACACCTTACATGAGCTGCACACATTTCATCATAGGGGTGGGGTTCCAAAATTTCTTGACACTTCTCTTCTGGAGAGGGCATTTAAAGCCATGGGTTTATAACTTGAGGATGCTTAAAAGACACCATCTCTGCACAAGATCTTCCATCCCTGCTGTCATTTGTTTCATACATCTGCTGCAAATACTGGTTAACGGTGATGTGGGCCATGGAGGTAGACCACCAGCTCCACAGCTACATCTTGGGCCATACAAGCGGGGCTCCCCTTCCATGAATTTTTTTAAAGGCCTCATGAGTTCAGAAATCCTGATCAGAGAATAAGATTTAGCAAATGCAGAAGCCTCCTTCCCACACACTATGCATATATCTCATGTCTCTTGTATAAAAGGTGCTGCCAGGTATATAATGGTACAGTACATGTATAGCCTATAGTACATTATGTCTTGATGTCATAGTAAGCACCCATGTTACTGGCTCATGTATATACTGTATAGTACTTTTCATCTAAAAAGTTTACTGTGTAACAGTATATGTGATTCATAGGCAGCAGCATACAATTTTGTGTATTGTATCCCATGGTGCTTGAGTGTTGGAGCGTAATCTCTGTTTAGTTTTCTTTTGAAAATATTAAGTGCATCATGACTCCCAGTGCAGCAGAACTTGGGCTAGTGAAATTAGCAGCAAGAGGCAAAGGAAAAGTATTGATTTGGAAGTGAAACAAAAGGTTATTAAACAACTCAAAGGTAGAAAATAAGTGAATGCTATTGCTCATCATTTAGGTATGTCACACTTAACAATCATGACAGTCCTCAAAAAAAAAAAAAGAAAAATTCTCCAGATTGTTAAAGGGTCAGCTCCACTGAAAATTAAAAGCTTAAGAAAATGTGAGAGAAACCTATGTCAGATACAGAGAAATTGCTAATGGTGTGAATTGAGGACTGAACACAAAGGCAAATTCCTCTCAGTTATTTTGATGATCACTGCTGAGGCATGAAGCTTGTTTTAGATGCTTAAAAAAAAAGTAGGGACCAGACTTTGATATGGTGTTTGCATAATGTCCAAATCACTTGACATCCTATTTCAAGAACATACTATGAATGTTAAGTAACGCATGACTGTGTATAAAGTTTTTATAATTCGGTCATTTCAATGATTCATTGCACCTTTTCATTTTGGATTTTCTTCCCACATTTTCTTTGCTACTTAGATTTGAAAAACATTGTGGCTAGGCCTGAGTTTTAAAGAGAAAAAAAAATACTTCCTTATTATTGCTACAGTATATATATATAGATATAGATTAGTAAATAAAATAACAGAATTAGCATTCCCTTTTTATATCTTAAAATCAGATAATAAATCAGTCCATCCGAAGAAAACCACATCACAAAGTCCTAACAGGCAACAATGGGAGAAAAACATATCCAAGACAGCTGTTACTGCTCTGCAAAATGCATCCATACTGAGCTCCAGCTTAACAGCAGAGGACAATACAGGTTGTAAGACTAAATACTATTTTATTATAGATCATTTTCTAATAATTCTTTAATGTAAGGGTGGTTTTTTTTTTTAATGTCACTTTGTGAAGGATACCAGAGTACAGACTAATAAAATATATTTTAGGAGAGAAAGAAGTATAATGAATTTGCTTGATTGAGTCTGATCTAGAAGATATATTTTGAGAAGATGATTTTACTTGGCACTAATTTTAACCTTTTCACAACTAGGTGGTTCTGTAATAAGGTACAGGGAAAATAACACCCGTAAGCACTGGGTCAGAGAGACACCTGAAACCTTGTTGGACATCCTTAGGAATGCTGATCTCAGCTTGGCATTTAAAACATACACAATATGTAAAGCAGGTAATTCATTTCTACTATATAACTATGGGGACCCTTGATTTGAAAGTTTACGAAATAGTCATAGCATTTCATTTCAAGTGTTTTTAAATCTTTTCTAGCCACTTTAATGCTGTACTTAAAATTTCTCATAGGGTTACATTACTTCTGTTTAGTCATATGCTTACTCATTTTAATAATTATGCAACTACTTTCTGTAAAGAGTGGCCTGTTTTTACCATGTAAAAAATCATTGCTCTAGTGACTCTACAGTTCAGACTTTATTGTCGTAACTTTGAGGAACTCTAAGAAATTTCCACTAGTTTCTATTGGGAATCCTGTTATATTGGATGTTTTAGTTATCTATTGCTGCTATAATGGAAATATCACAAGTCGATACTTCTAACAAACAAATGTATTCTCTCACAGTTCAGAAAGCTAGAAGTCCAAATCCAGAGTTCTGGTTTTACTGGAAGGCTTTCTCTCTTTGTTGGCGCTAGAGAAAAGTCCTTGTCTCTTTCAGTATCTGTAGGTCTAACATACCTTGGAGATTTCCATCGGTATTTCTTGTCTTGACATTAATCTTCCTCTGGATCTAGGAGCTTTACAGTACAGGGGCTACAGATCTAAAAGATGCACTCTACTCTTGACTCTTCTTTCTTTGTGATAATAGGTTCTTATGAGCTTTGACTGCCTGTTTAATCTCTTAAATCTCAAAAGAGATTGCCTCAGTATACAACTTGGAGTCTTGGTATGGTGCTGTAAGATAAGCATTCAGCCACTGGGTTGGTTTAAACCACAAGGTTGGCAGTTCAAACTCACCAGCTGCTCCTTGGAAGCCCTGTACAGGGTCACTAAGAGTTGGAACTGACTCGACAGCACTTAACAACAACAAGAAGATACAACTTAACCGTATAGATTGCATCTGGCCTCATTAATACCATAGAAATGAGGATTTGTAGCACAAAAATAATGACATCAGATGAGGGTTTACCTGTGATCGGATCACATCAGGGGTTGATTACATTATGTTAGATCTCATCATGGAGTATTACTACCTTTTAACTGCCAAACCACTAAGAATCTAGGCCCAGCTAAGTTGTCAAAAAACCTTAACTATGAAATCGAATAAAACCAAAACAAGCACACTTTTGTCAAGTTAATTTGACTCATAGCTACACTATAGGACGGGGTGTAAATATTTTTGTTTGTTTGTTTGAGGTTACATTTTTATTTTTATTATTTAATATCAGGTTTTAATTTTTAAACATTTTATTGTAATTTATGTTAAGGCTTACAGAGCAAACTAGTTTTCCATTCAACACTTCTTACTCATTTTGTTTCATAACATTTGTTGCAGGGTCTACAATAAAACATCACATATCCCACTTCCTCCCTGTGTTTCCTATTTCCATTCCTCCATCTTTCCTAACTCTTCTGACTTAGTCCTTGGGAAAATGCTACCCTTTTGATCTCAAATGGTTGCTTGTTCTAGGGAGTGCTTACCTCACTAGTATTACTGCTCCTCTTATAGACCTGTCTATTTGGCTGAAAATTGAGCCCTGGGCGTGAGTTTTAATACAGGCCTGAAGAGTAACTAAGGGCTGTAGTCTCAGGGGTTCGGCCACTCTCTTATCTGATCAGTAAGCCAGATGTTTTTTGTGATTTTGAGTTTTGTTTCATGTTTTTTAAACTAATTATTTCAGAAACAGACTGCCTCATCTTTCTCACACAGAGAAGCTGGCGGGTTTGAACTGACAACCTTTTGTTGGCAACCCAACACTTCCTAGAGTAGATTGTGAAAAAGATGAACAATCAGAATTTTATTTGGTTGTCATTTCTATAGATGTTTCCACAAAACAGGATAAAATAATCCTTTATAATAATAACCTTTGTAATTCAGGACAATGTACAAATGTGTGAGTATAAATTTGATAGTTCAATTATTAAGTGACTGTATTTGATTAAGATCTGAGATACATTAGACAAAGTAGAGTATGTTAAGTCTCTGCTGCATTGATTATAACAGATCTAGCTACATTTGTTCATTTGGTCAAAATTTATTGAGTATAAGGTTGAGATATAAAAAAGAATAAAGCACAATTCCTGCCCTGAAGACTAGCACACAAGTAGAGAAGTATAACTGTTTGTAGTGTGTGTCGGAGCTGTGCATAGTTTTATGGAGCCCAGAGGAGTGGTTGATACACACAAGGAAGATGTTAAGGAAGATTAATGGTTGTGGATTTAAAAATGGCTATTGGAAAAGAATCAACATTGGACTGTGAACCACATGGTTGGCATTTCAAACCCACTAGCTGCTCCTTCAGAACTGACTTAACATTACTTAACAACAACAGCTATAAAAATAGATACATTATTGTCTTAGATCATTGAGCCCTACAGAAAAGAATACAAATGTCATGAAACAGAGTCGACTATAGTCTTTTTTTAAAAAAGAATACCTCCACTTCCCAGCTATTCTCTGGTAACCACTAACCTCTATTGTCTGAATGGGTTTGCCTGCAGGATTTTCCTGGTTTTGAAGGAGATCCGTTCCTAACTGTTCATTTTAAGAATTTGTATGTCAGTAGGAACAGATGCATGCAGTTCTCATTTAGCCTTATTTTAGCACACAAAAAAAGACAGAGCTTTCCCAGTGATTGTCAGAGCTGCAAGTATTGCAAATGAAGGTGATAGTGATGAATTTGTGGAGAGTTGGTTCAGTCTTTTCACAGTGATGACACATTTACATAAACATAAAATGCATTTTGAACTGAAACAGTACTGTCCTCTTGAAAGATGGCAGCCAACCATGGCATTTTGAATGTGTGTTGCTCTCCAGCAAGCTTTTAGAGGATTTTAGTCTAACATGCATAAAGTAAGTAAATACTGTTCAAGTTGGCACTGTCTATTAATATTCCTCCAAAGGTTCTGAAGGGTTCTTGAAAGGCCCCCTCTCTGAAGAAACAGAAGCATCTGACACTGTTGATGGAGTTGATGATTCTGTTATTTTGGATCCTGAGAGACTTGAACCTAGACTGGACGAGGAGGACACGTATGTGGTCAAATACCTAGAAAACTGTAGTTGGCTTGTGTGTGGGTATATAATTTAAGTAATACCATAATAATTTCATGTTTATAAGAGCTTGGTATATTACTTTTCACCATAAATGAACATATCTTTTGTCTGGGATAGCTAATGCATTATGTTGTTCTTGTTGCTAAGTGCTGTCCACTTGGTTCAGACTCATGGCAACTGCTAACCACAAGGTTGGTGGTTCAAACTCACCAGCTGCTTCTCAGAAGCCCTAAACAGGGTTGTTGTTGTTGTCTGCCATGGAGTTGGTTCCAACTCATAGCCACTCTGTATGGGGTTTCTGAGAGTGGCTGGTAGGTTTAAACTGCTGACCTCATGGTTACTAGCCATATATATATTTATATATATATATATATATACACATACATACATATGTATGTATACACAGAGATTGATGTGTATATAGGGTTGTTATGAGTTGGAATCGACTTGTAGGCACTTAACAACAATACAACATTTATGTATATATATGTATATGTGTGTGGGTTGTGAAATGCCATCAAGTCAATTCCGACAAACAGCAACCCTGTATAGGGTTTCTGAGGAGGAGCTCATAGCTCTGAACCTCCGAACTTGAGGTTCAGACCAACCTTGTTAAGTGCCTTTGAGTTGATTCTGACTCATAGCAACTCTATAGGGTTTCCAAGGAGTGATTGGTGGGTTTGAACCATCAGCCTTGCAGTCGAGTACTTATCCTACAGCTCCACACCAGGACTCCTATATACGAGTGTGGTGGCTCCATAGGATAAGCACTGAACTGAACCACAAAGTCTGAAGGTCAAGTCCATCAGCCACTACACAGAATAAAGATAAGAGTTTCTGCTCCTGCAAAAATTTAAAAGCTTCGGAAACCCTATAGGGTCATTAGGAGTTGGAACCATTTAACAACAACACAATAGCTACATATGTGTGTGTGTGTGTGTGTGTGTATGTGTATATACATATTGTTGTTGTTTAGTGCCATCGAACAGGTTCTGACTCATAACACCCCTGTAGAGGGTTTCCAAGAAGCAGCTAGTGGGTTTGAATTATCAACCTTGTGGTTCACAGTCCAACCACACCTGTTGCCATTAAAAAGAGATTTATTGATTGATTGACCTTAAAGAATTGAGTCACGTAATTCTGAGGAGATGACAAATACAAAATCCCTGGCTCAGGCAGCAGGCTGGAGACTTTAGCAGACATATACCCCAAGATCTGTAGATCAGGTGAAGAATGAAATGAGAGTTCTGCAAAAACGTCTTGTTTATTTTTTGGCAACAGATTATACCCTAGGGAACCCCTTTTCAACTGGTTGATTGATTACATTATACTAGATTACATTATAGAAGTTGATTGAATTACATTGTATGATGTTATTTTATAGAAGGTAATTGGTTCTACCCAGTGACAATTAAACTCTATTCATGACAGCAACTAGACTAGCATTTAGCCAAACATCTAGGATGTTGACACACAAAAAGGAATTTTTAATATTGCTGTATTGGTGATTGGAGTGCTGTTGTGGCATTGTAGGATAAGCACTGGACCATAAGGTTGGTTTGAACCAAAAGGTCGATGGTTCAAATCATCAGTTGCTCCTCAGAAACCTTATACAGAATCTTTATGAGTCAGAACCGACTTGATGGCACTTAACAGCAACAATGTTGGTGTTCTGCTTTGACTCAGTTAACAAATACTGAAAGTACTCTGTACATAGAGTCTTAAAATCCAAATTGTTTTTTAACAGGGACTTTGAGGAAGAAGATGACAACCCTGATTGGATGTCAGAACTGAAGAAACAAGCTGGCTTACAAGAAGTGGCTGATGGATAGTGCCCAAAGTAATGTACCTAAATCCCACTGAGATGATTTTTAAAATGAAGAGCCAATACTTGGATGATATTTAGTTGACAGAATGTATAGTTTCCTTTGGAAATAGAATGACAGTTGGGAAGCTGTGAATATTTAGAATTGTTTATGATTAGTACCATAAAGTTAAAAAAAATCTAGAACATGTATGAGTTTTTTGATTCAAGGGAAAAGGCAGAACATGATTTCTGGACTTTGAAGACAAGTTGACCAGAAATTGGTTGGTAACTCCACCACTTATTAGTTTGATTTTGGGAAATTAACCTCTTGGAGCTTTAAGGATAATTATGCCTACCTCCTAGGGTTACTGATCATAGATCTACAGCATCTCATAATGTTATTAGTCATATAGTTGTGATTTATGTTTATTACTATGCAACTAATTTTACATTTCCTAGAAGATTGTCTAAATATATTTAATTAATAAATATAAGAGTGATGTGTACAATTTGAAAATAAGATCTTTGCAGTATAGTGAGCTACATCATGCGACTCTTTTACCCATTGTCCTTGTAATTCCCACCGAACAACTTTTTCTGGGTGGCTCTGAGTAAGAAAACTGGGAGAAGCTGATAGATGACATGATTCAATTGTGATTGTTAGCAGAATTTATTGTGTGTGTAAAAACTTGGGACACTAATATGGGTTTAAAATGAGCCATCTGAGAAGCAGGAGGGAGAATCTCAGTACCATCAAAGAAGAGCTAGAACCCCTGTACATTGAATGTCCTCAACCCAGCGACAGAATGCTGTGACACCACAGAAGTAGCAGATGAGCACAACTGTGAGCTGGAGCACAAGACTGCCCAGTCCATGGAACAAATAAAGTTGAGTGACTTTACTTGGGGAGAAGGCTTGCTTGCAGAATGAGGTGCCTCCAGGTGCTTAATTTGGGGAACTAGGTTTGCTGACCCATAATACTTTTAATATTCTCCAACACCACAATTAAAATTCACCGATTCTTCTGTGGTCCTCCTTATTAATTGTCCAACTTTTACATGTATATGAGGCTATTGAAAATATCATGGATTGAGTCAGGGATACTTCAGTCATCAAATTGGTATCTTTGTTCTTTAACATTTTAAAGAGGTCTTGTGCAGCTTATCTGCCTAATGCAATAGGTTAATTGATTTGTTGGTTGCTGCTTCCATGAGTGTTACTTGTGGACCCAAGCAAAATGAAGTCTTTCACAACTTCAGTCTTATCTCCGTTTATCATATTATTTATTGTTTCCGTTGTTAATTTTTTCTTTCTTTACATTGAGGTGCAGTACATACTGAAGGCTGCAGTCTTTTTCTCCTTTTTTTCTGAGAGACATTATTACAGAAAGGAGAATAAAAGAGATTAAAAGAGGATAAAGGAGATAGTTTGTTGACAAAGGAATTTACCTACAAAGGGTGACACACGGCTGCATCCAGTGTTGACTGGCAAGATCATGGAGTTTTCCTGTGCAAGGGGCATAGACTAGGGTCTTTTTGTATAATGGCATATTCACAAGTATAAGGGCAGTTAAGGGTGGTATGCGGAACTAGAAAAGGTAGGAGAGTCAAATCTTCTGGGTTGTTTGTCACCTCCTAGAGAACAAAGAGTTTTAGAGTGGAAAGAGGGGGCTTCTTCTGAGTGTATGCATAACTAAAGCAGGAGAACAACAAGTTTACCTGCACATAGCTATAGGAGGGACTGTCTGCTACTTCCTAAGATAACAGGAGCAGGGGGAAAGGGACAGGAGATATGTTTTTGACATTGGTGTGATCATTTGGGAAGGGCAAGTTTGTGTCCCTACACCATACCCTAATGCCCCTAAATGATCCTTACAATCTTAACACCTGTCTTCCATACAAATCTGTTGGCCTGGGCATTGAAGAATTGCAACCAAAGACTACAGCAACAATACATAATACAACTGAGTACTATTCCTAAGCAAAATAATAGAAATATATATTGCCACATTGAGACCAAAAAGCCAATCCACTTAGAAAAGGATGATAGGAAGAGACTAGGGATATCTTGAACCACTTCTCCCAGGCCAATATCAAAGGAAAGGCTGTTGTTAAGTGCCGTCGAGTCAGTTCTGGCCCATAATGACCTTATATAGGGTTTCTGTGGAGTGACTGGTATTAACTGTCAAACTTGCGGTTCAAACGGACTTTGCATCCAGTGCATTAAACTGTAATACCACACCAGAACTCCCACAATAAACCAATTGAGAACCAGGAACACAGACCACAAAAATCCCAAACAGACTTGTGGTTTCAGACATAGAAACACCTGCACAGAACAAGAGGACTCGTCCTTAGCATGACCTTTTGATGTATACTGGTTTATTGTAATATCATTAACGTATACATCTCCTCCTGCATACTATGAAAAATCAGGTCTTGGGACGTCTGGGACTGAAAATCCATGATTCCCCAACTGTTTGGGGTCTGAATGAAGTACTTTCAGATTGGGTGCCCAGAAAAGACAATGCATGCCTCTAGAGGAACTCCATCTAGGGTTGAATGTTACTGTCTCATCCCTTACCAATCCATGATATGAGGTCCTAGGCTGGCAGGAGACCCCAGAATTTACTCATCTCTGGGTCTGTCTGTCACCTGCTTGTTTTTGTTTTTTCCCTTTCATTGGTTTTGCTTATTCTTTCTTCCTTGCCTTTCTATTTTTTCCTTTCTAAACTTTCTATCTCCCTTTCATTGTTTTCTTCTTCTTCTTCTTTCTTTTTTTCTTGGTTGCTTCTCTTTCTGAACTGCTTCTTTCTTTCTTTTTCTTCTTGTTTCATACCCTTCTTGGTTTTTGTTTGTTTGTACTACTCTGTGGTTTCTCTGTCTTTTACTTACTGCTCTCCATAATTGTGTTTAGGTAATTTTCATTCTTTTTATTTTATTTTCCTCTCCCTCTTTTCTCTCTCTCTCTTTTTGTATTCTTTGTCTAGTTGTTGTATACTTACCCACCATTGTTGTTTGCTGGATTGTGTTCGTTTTCTTCTCTCCTTTGTGAGAAAGAAAAGCACAGAAAAGATAGTTGAAGAGTTGTTGAAATAGTATTTCTGTATCATTATGAAAGACAAGAAGATAAACATTCAAGTAGTTTAAAGAACCCCAAACATGATTAACCCCAAAGGAAAATCACCAAAACATATCATAATCAAATTCTACAAAATGAAAAACAAAGAAAGAATCTTGAAAGCAGCTTGGAGAAAGTGAAAAGAACCTACAAAGGAGAACCAATAAGATTAAGCTCTGATTTCTCAGCAGACACCATGCAAACAAGAAGGTAATGGGGAGACATACACAAAACTCTGAAGAAGAAGAAAAAAAAAAAACAACCATGAATCCTGTACCCAACAAGACTGTACCTCCTATACAATGGCAAAATTAGAGCATTTCCAGATAAGCAGAAATAAAAGGAATTTGTAAAAACCAGACCAACTTTACAAATAATACTAAAGGAAGTCATTTGGACTGAGAACCAACGACAGCAGACAACAACCAGAGATTGACATCTATAGCAACACGACCCAGAATTCAATCCAGATTGTAGAAGTATCCAAATTAAAGCAAACCTACAAGACTGAAAAGAGGGAATTGGAGATATTAACTTTTGTAATCAAGACAACTACAAAACAAAAAGAGGCAAAATCAAAACATGCTCATGGATAGGAAGACTTAACCTTGTGAAAATGTCAACACTATCCAATGCGATTAATCTCAACCCAGATTCCAATTCTTTAAAGAGTTGGAAAAACTAATCATTAACTTTATATGAAAAGGAAAGAGATCTTGGATAAACAAGGCATTACTAAAAATGAAGAACAAACCAGTAGGCCTCTCAGTTGTGATTCTCAATATCTACTACACAGTCACAGAAAAAAAAAAAAAAAAAAAAGCCTGTATTTGTTAATGTTGTTTAGAGAACTAAATGTGAAACCTAGAATGATCATCATTAATAATAAAATAGAAACAAACTTAGTGATTCTGATACATGGCATAAATATACTACCAAATATAACTGAATACACACCAACAGCAGAAGATGAAATAGATAACTGGGACCTCCTAAAAACTAGACACTTAATCACATAAAAATATTTCACCAAAAGAGTCAGAGAGAACCCACAGACTTGGAAAAAATTTTTTCACAATAAGATATGACACAAGGGACTACTGTCTAAAATTTATAGAACACTTCCACACTACAACAAGAAGATAAAACAGACACTTTACTGATGAAGACTTTCAGATGGCCAACAAATATGTGAAGAGGCATTCAAGATCATTAATCGTTGTTGTTGTTACATGCTGTTAAGTTGGTTTCTACTCATAGCAACCCCACCAAGGAGTGATTGCTGAGTTTGAACTGCCAACTTGTAGCTAGCTGTCCAGTACTTTATGTACAGTGCTACACAGAATTCCATTATACTCGTGGCTGCTACAGTGGATAATACAGAGAGAACATTTCGTTTCCATCATCCCATGTGGTTAATAGTCCAGTACTTATCCTATAGCACCACACCAGGACTCCCCTTTTCATGCTAGAGGGTGGAAATTAACCTGATATAAATTCAGGTGCCTAGAAGTCTTCCAGCAAGATGGCAGAGTAGGCAGAAAGGCTATATAGAACTTCTAAAACAAAGATACTACATACTAAATGAAAAAGAAAACATCATCGTGGAACCCTGAGAGTCAATGGAAAGGACTGCAAAGTGGATTGGATACTGAATAGGAGAAAAATTGAATATGGGAGGTAAGAGAGGAGACAAATGGGTGAAATGTTGGCTCGTCTGAATTTGCCAGAAGCATTTTACCCCATATAAAGGTCTGAAGTGAAGATGCAACTATTGACTGGTGAGAAGAAGGCAACTGTGCTTATATAGCCCAGCCACAGCAGTACCACCAGCACCCCCACCAACTGGACAAGAGCCACTTCCATTTTTTGGCATCATTTGTTCAACAGTAGATTGCAGTCAAT